CGCCACTATCAATCACATTTTTTAGCGTTTCTTCGATGATGTTTTCGAAATTCACAGTTTTTTCCTCTTCTTCTTCATTTTCCTCATCCTCAGAAACATCCCAGTCAAAATTTGTAATTTTTTCAATTTCTGCCTGTGTTAAACCTTTTGGTCGCATCTAAATATGTTTTTGAACATAAAGAAATGTACACTGTTCAGAAAATACCACTTGACCAATGTTGCCTATAGGCAAAAGCACTTTTACAAAAATATTATAAACAAACTAAAGACTTATCTTATAATTTTTCTTTTTTACATAACTCACTTACCTTTATTTATTTATATTCTGCACTTGGTTTTACAGTAAAAAAAAATTTTTAATGTTTTTTTAATTTTGTTTTATACACACTTTTTTCGCTAAATGTTCACTTTACCGAGATCGGCTACTGAATGAAGTCGTGTCTAGCTGACAGAACAAAAGATGGATTTAAGCTTGCACAACTCCCATAACTACACAATGCAAAAAACCGCATGTCAAAAAATTCAAAATAACGGGACTTAGAAGCACATGGGCACAATGTTGCCTATAGGCAACTGTGGGCATGAAAGGGTTAAGCTTATTGTGATATTATTCTCAAGCCATTTTGGTATGTTGGACTGTTTAAATGTTATAGCACAGTGTTGTCACCAAGAAAATTGCATATTGCACACGGAGGATGAAAATTTTTACACATTTGGGAAATACTACGCATGTTACAAAATTTTTTATGCATTGTTTATAGCACAAAAACAAACTTAAATTTCTTTTATACAAATTTTATATGAAAATGGATAACATAAATAAACACATTGTGTTTCATAAATCCGTTTTGCCTAAGTCTGGAGTATTCCTCCATTAGCTTAACTTCATATTACTCTCCATTACAGAGAGTAAAGTTTTTAAAAACGAAACTGGAGGCTTGGCAGTATTTGCTGATTGCTACAAATATTATGACTTCATCCCGGTGAAGGCAAAGGTATTTTTGATATGACGACTGGTGAAAAGCAAGCTTTAAGTGTCGTTATGTCTTAAGTGAATGAGAATCACACGTACCCTTTTCAAAAATCATTAGTTAAATATTCTTTCTGTAGAGGCTTTTAAGAAGGGAAGATTTAAAAAAAAAATAGTAGTGATGATGGTTTGGCTGATCGTGGAACAAAAGTAAATCATATAGTTGATGAATCAATAGTGGGTGCCACAGCTGATGCTTCTTTGAATGGCGGTGATGGGATATTTTTTGGTGGTGTGAGTGCAGTTGTTGAAAATTTGGTCCTTTGCAGGAGCTGCAGACGCAAAACTGATGCTCTGTTTGATCTTTACAAGGTTTAAATATGAATGTGTGGTTGAATTCAAAAAGTCTATAGTTGAGCTGAAGATGACAGTCTCTGAAGTTAAAAGTACGGCTTTGGTGGCATATGAATTGGAATTTGTGAGCTTGAATCTTCTAACGATAGTAAAATTTTTAAACTTATCTTCCCATATATCTCCTGTAATTTCCTGCATTTTGTCAATTCGATTTTTATGATTATAATATTTTTTTTATTCATGTGCCGAAAACAGGTTAGTCACATCATATGTCGAATCTGCGTCTCATTAGCATTCTACCTTTTATGTCAAGATTTGTTGCACATATTATTAAAGATGCGATTGTTAAGTTCCTCGATGATCGCAGGCTCTTGAGACTATACACTTATCTCTTAATGATATGATTTGGGATGCCTTTAATTCATGTTCATGTTCAATTCAGGTTCTCTCTTGTAGAGCCCTCTCTAGATCATGTATGTCCTTCCTGACACGCCTGGGTGGGGAAGATTTATCCACCATATTATGGTTGGGATGACTCTCACGGAAACACCCAAGCAGGCACTGCAACGAAAGCATATGATTATGCTGACGTAAGGGAAGGACTTTCGCCTCCTCATGTAGATGGTCCACTGGTGTCATGAGAAGGCTTGCGCGGACGACTTGAACATGCTGTCGAACGTGACCCTAAGAATCTTGGGGTAGTTCGTGGTCGATATTAGAATCCCTTCGACCTGAACATTCAGCTGTGTTCTCATCTCCTCTGGTTCAGTCCTCTACTAATATGTGTGGAAATGGCGTATAATGCTGTTGTGGTACTATGTTGTGGACGGAATCCGTGCTCGTGGTTGACAACTGTATAGCTTCCTCTAATGCTGTGGAGGAGTAAAGCCTCAAGAGTCTTAGCTACTGGCGATAAAAGCGAAATCGGCCTGTACGATTCGCCTTTGCTGGCATCCTTGCCTGGCTTCAGTAGCGGGACCACCCGCTCCATTTTCCAGGTTTCCGGCACTATGTGGGTGGCTAGCGACAAATTGAGAACTTTCGTTAAGTACTTGACTCCCGGCGTATCCAGCTGCCTCAACATTACCATTGAGATTCCGTCCGGGCCCAACGCTTTGGATGACTTAGCGTTACGGATGACATTTGCAACATCACCCATTGTAAACTGTGGTTCCTCCTCGGCGGGAAGAGATACGACGTAGTACTCTTCGCTTCGCCCTATCGCTCTCGGGGTGCTCGACAAATTGTCGGTTAAAATACTCCGCGCACCTCTTCGGATCAGTCACCGTTACGTCGTTAAAAGTGATGAGGGAGATGGTCTGAGCCATGAGAAATGACGGGTTGCCAAGTCACGTCATTTATCAGACCGTGTGACACTATGGTTAGGTCTGGCGAACTGTGACACTCTCCTCTTATTCGGGTGGGGCATCCTCGTTAACCGTCCAGAATGTGGAGGAGTCGATCTGCTCTGCCAGTGCTGATTTCCTCTGGTCATTTCCTAGGACGGACTGCCACAACTAATGGTGGGCATTAAAATCCCCTAGTACCAGGCGGTTATTGCTTACCAAATATGGGCTAATATCAGGCAAATAACGCGGTTCACAGCTATTAATCGGCGGGATATACACATTAAGCACATCTACTTCGGCAGTTCCACACTTGACTGCTACCCCCATACATTCCTAACTAAAGACTAGCTCAAGCGAGATAGGTCTGTACTGAACAGAATTGTGTAACAGGAACGCTAATCCCCGCTTCCACTTCTGGTGCAATCCTTCCTTTGTACGTGGTAACCATAACAACGTTGTAGGCTGCAATTTTCATTCAGCTTGGTTTCCTGCACCGCTGCGATCTTAATATTCCTCCGACTCATAAATTCCACTATCTCATCTATTTTGCCTCGGAGTCCGTTGCAATTGAATTGCAAAAAAGATGCACAATCCAGAGTTGGAACAGCAACATGTGGCGTTAGATGCTGCGGTGTTGGTTGCTGTTCTGGAGACTGCGGTGGAGTGCCATACTCCGACGACGTCTCTGATGAGGACGACGAAGAAGTGGACTCGCTGAGGACTACGCTTTCGCTACGCTTTTCTCGCCAACGCCTTAGTCCGAAACAGTTCTTGAAGTGCACCCATTCTCTACATCCATTACATCGCACCGAAACAGATCTGTGGTGGATGACGTTCTGACAAACCGAGCAGAACCAAGGTCCGGGGTTTTCCTCAATCCCGGCACGGACCAATGAAATCCGGAGCAAGCATTCCGGGATATGCTGCTCCCAATGCAGAAAAATAAACAAACACAAACATGTACATACTGGGTTGGCAGCCGCTGGCCGAAACTGCCGTGGGCGTGTTTCGTCTGACGTTTGTAGTGTCCAATGTGGAATCCCACAAAGTTCGTCGAATTGAGTTGGGCCAAAACTACCCTGGTTTGCCTAGGCTATATATTCATGTATAAAATTAGTTTTTGATGACAGGTGTTGTCTGTTTTTGTATGCATATGATGTCCACGTTTTCTTCAGAGAGGCTGATATTCCTAGGTTGGAGAAATTGGTTAACTCTATTGTTTCATTGTGGATTTCGTTAAATGGCCTTATTATAAATTGGAATAAAACTAAAGCCATGCTGTTCAATGACCATGGTAATGGTGGTACTCTTAATGTTTACGTGAGTTATGTGATTGTGGAACTTGATGAGATGTTAGACTGTATTGTCTTCTTACGTATTTGCATTTTAGGAAGACAGTGGATGTGTCCTCACAGGTTAATTATTGCCTGCAGGTCGTCTCTGGCACTCTCTGGTCAAATGCTGCGTATTGGTAGGGCAGTAAATTAAATCGCTCGTTATGTGTATGGCTTGTGTCGTGGTAATCATGTTTCTTGTTTTATTTTTGATCTCCTAGGATTGTCAACAATGTTGATCATCATATTCTTCATTACAGTGTTATGTGCAATTTTGACTCGTCTTCGTGACAAGTTTGTGTTTTGTAGATCATCACGAAATCCCCAACTGTTATAGGGATAGAAAAATTTTAAAAACTTCACAGGTAATCCATTTAATCCAACTACTTCAGACTTAATAGTACGTAAGGAACGAATAACGTCATCGTCAAACACGCTGTTAATTGAAAAAGAATGACCATGTCCAAGATACCCAGTAAGATCCACGGGAATTGTTCCCAAGGAGGAGGGAGACTGGACAAATAATTCATTAACGTTCAACGTTTAAAGAATTCATTAATGTCGAATGTATTCTCAATAGAACATAACTCCTCGCTCAAACGACCACCAGTACGTATCTTTTTTCACATTTCAGTGCAATTCAAACCTGCAAAGGTATTTAAGTAGAATTTTCTCCTCTCTTTTCTTAAAACTGATTTGTCTTTGTTTCTAAATAAACCAAAAAACGTCCAACTTGCCGCAAAGGTTGTCTAAGATACTAAGAGTTGTGTAAAATTGATGGGCATGGAATTTGAGACGAATATCTTAGTGATTGGTAACGACTTACAAGCATATAGCCAATTAAGAATGATGATGAATGAGAAATGTCAAAATGTGAATCTCTCATTTTCGCGGAGTTAGAAACATTAAATAAATTGTTATTGAAATCGCCAACACCAACAACTCACAACTCTTAAAAAACCTGCAAGACAATCAAATGGTGAAATAACCTGGTAAGGTAACCCTTTCAAGCCAGCTGCAACCAATGTAATACGCCAAAAATGTTGTTATAATTTGAATTAGCCTTGAACGGAAATTTAAATTTCAAGTAAAAAAATATACGTGGCGTGTTATGGAATGAATTTAAATCCCAACTTAAATTCATATTTTCGGTAATATAAATAAGTTTGAGATAAAAAAACATTGTAAAACTCGTCATGAACTTTTTTTGATTTCAGATTATTTATAGCACCAACGATTCCTTGAAGACATTAAGAAACCAGATTTGTGACCATGAAATACATATTTTTTAAATTTCTCTAAATTTTCTACATTTTAGTGATGAATCTTGTGTAAACATTCGCAATATGGGGACCAATTGATTGAAGTGTAGGTTTCTGTACATTACAAGTCACAAGAACAGAAAATGTCCATGCAAAATATTTTTAAAATTTTAATAATAAAAAAAATTATTTAATGGTTCAAAATCAAACAGGGTTTAAACGCCACCGCCTATTGAAATTATCCTTAGCCTTTCAGTGCAACTGCTATTATTGATTGACAGCCACGGCTAAAATAGCACATGATCAGCTACTTAGCTCAGCGCTGTTTTTGTTAAGCCCTAACAGAAAATAAGGCAAAAATTCAGCACACAAAACAAGAAATAGCTCGGATTTCGGCTGCTGCTATTGTCGTTTTAGCCGAATGAGAAGCCGAAAACATATTTTTACGATTGTGTGTTGTCATGTACAAATTAATAAAACATGTACATATGTTTTCGAGCTCGTCAGCTAATCTAAGTTTATTTTTGAATTGTAACTTACCAATATTTTTTCTAAACATTTTTGCTAAATATATTGAATAACAAAACTAAAATGAACTTATAGCATTCAATAACATTAGCATTTTGTCTACATATGAAAATACCAAATGGATAAAAATGTTGCTTTTTTGATGTTGATCTATTTTGATGCTAGCTTCAGCCGTTCACTGCAATTTTGCCTTTGCTGACGATTTCAAGTAGCTTTAGCTCTCTCGGGTAAATCTTTTTTAATGTGTTGCTATTTATTGGCGTAGCTCATTGATGGACTATATTTTTTGAAGATCATTTAGCAGGCCATTGCATTTTCGGTGCCATTGCTAATTAGGCGATAGCATTTTAAACCCTGAAATCAAACTGCCTAAATGATTGCTGTTGGTAACCGGTCAACTAACGATGCCCAAATAGCACAGAAGCAGGACGTGCTCGCGAGAGAATTACATAATAAAGTATCTTAGGCACAAATGATTATAAGCTAGATCTGTTTACACTTGCCATAAATTTAAGGGGCAATACTCCAACGCTTAATATATTACAATTTAGAGAAGACTTCGACGAAACATTTTCACTAGTGGCGACAGACGTTATAAGCAGTCAGTGCATTGAAAAAGTATGTTATTGAACATTTTGATATTAAGTCCGCTTTCTTGAATGGAGATATTCAAGAAGAAATTTACATGGATCAACCAAAAGGCATCGTTAAACGTTCAATTTGGGGACTTATAGACTTGTAAAAGGCGGATAAGCAAATTCCAACCAGACAATTAAGTTTATAGTTGAATTCATTTACTTTTTCGTCCGATATATTTTTTTATGTTTATGTTATTACAAGATATTTTTTTATTTTCATGTTTCCAGCAAAATACTTGTAATGAAAAATGATCCGGCCATAGTCCATAGTAAACAGCATTAGCGAACATTCCAAACAACCAACTTGGTAGCATATGGAACACTGTATACCAGTTTTTCCTGAGTATGGGTGGCGATCCACCAGTGGTTGTAGTCTACAGGACGATGTATATAAACCGGGGTGAGTATACGTGTTACATTTTTTGAAGCGAGTATAGGAAAGTTAAATTAACATATTTGGCGTATATTTTTTTACAAACGAATTTATATCGTACAGGTGTTAAGAGCGGAAATCTTGGGGAAGAGATTGACAAACTACAAGCTAATATGTCGATAAAATCACTGAAAAATACTTTAAATCGCAAACAATTAATGACTGCCTAATGGTGGATGGGAAGTATCCTCGCCTGGTTTGATGAAGCTATATAATATAATAATATTCCTAATATGGTTGGAACTAATGCTAATTTTAAAATGTAAAAAAAATAGAAAACAAAAGCATTGAAATAAATTGTTTGTACTTTTTTCCTCTATTGCCAACCAGTATTTCCAGTATTTGAGTTATTTTTAAGCAGCTAATAAGACCAATTTTTTGTAGCCTTTGTTAGATGGGTCGCAATTCAGTAAACTTTGGCAATCACTGCTGTATACCAATGATTTTATACATTTTAATGATTTTAGTATTGCTTTATCGATACTCTGACCGCGTATTGTATTACTAGAAAAGAGGTTTTCACTGGGCTTATTAGGTCAAGTGTGTAATGAAATAAACTAATTTAGATTATGGTATCATTCTTGTTTCATTTTCTCATCTTTACATAAAAACCGAGAGGTGACAAACATTTTTATATATTATACATTCTTAATTTTAAGATTTTAGTTTCATTCGACGCTTTATCTAATTTAGGCTTGGGTTAAAGGTATGAATAAGAAACCATAGTAAACCCTCGTAGCCATGGGTATCACGTCTTTATTTTTAAATTCAAAGTGCATAACATACAATATGTTAACGTTTACTATGGATCATATTACTTACCTGCAATTCCTCTGTGGTTATTTGAATACTGGTGCTAGCTGTGGGTGCGGGGGCGCGTTGTTGTGCAGGTGGTAAGTTCTGCGACAGAGGTTGTACCACTGCAGCATTGGAATTAATTGTTGAGTTAATGTTTAACTGTGGCTTCGATTGTTCCTGCTCAAAGGGATTGTAGTCTTCTAACGAACTCTGAACATTTGTCGTTGTACGAGTCGCCTGTTGTATAGCCGGATCCTGTAATATGTCTCATTAAATACATTTATATGCTTTAGTGTAGTTCTTTTGTCACTCGTTCGTATTTATGTTCGGAGTAGAGATAAAGAAAAGTGAGTCAATAATACATACTCAACATGTATGCATATATTACAGTACAAGATGTTTTTTTTGTTGTCTCTCAAAACACAAACTCATTGGACTTCTTACCGCAAAAGGGTTATCCAGATTTGGTTCTCCGAAAGGATTATCGTCGAATCCAGACATTTTTTTCCAATAATCAAAAGCTACCCAAAATAATAAAAACACTTTCTTCGGTACTTTTTACTTTTGAGCTGTGTCACTGATAGTGTTGAACGGTTAATAATTACTTTAGATATATTCATCGTACCAAGTTATAGAACCGGTACAAAATAAATCGAATTATTGATATTTCATAACCATGGAATAATAATAAGGGTAGTTGCATCAGCACAGCTGGTGATATGTTGTACAAAAAATATGTACTTAAAAATGAGTACATTTTCGAGACACATTGTAAAATTGTTTACATATCAATGTTCCAAATGCTAATGCATCAACCAAGTTTTCCAGTAATAAAAAGTGACATTTAACATTGCTCGGCGACTTTTTAGTGTGGACAATTTCATTAAATTTAACCTATATTTATACGAAGGTAAAGTTTGAATGTTTCAGCCATGGCATGAACAAAATATAAATTTTGACAATGAAATGTTGCCAAATGAATAAATTCAAAAAAAAAAAATACACCTTCTTAATTCTGACATGCGTGGAGCGAACAAATAATGTATCTAATTGTTTTATTACCAACGGGTCGGCAAATTCTTTACTTCATTTCTTGATAAATCCCAGTTTTTTAAGCTTTATATGCAACAAATAAAGCTCAAGAATAAAAATTCCTCTTTAACTATATATTAGCTATAATAAGTTGATTTAATTTTAAACCTATTAAAAATAAAAATGTTTTGTTATTTTTCCTTCTATAAATTTAAAAGTTTCATTTGATTTGCAAAAAGTTTCATTTCGGTAGCAAATGGTTTCATTTCGGTTGCAAAAGGTTTCATTTCCGCTGCAAAAGGTTTCATTTCCACTGCAAAAGGTTTCATTTCCACTGCAAAAGGTTTCAATTCCACTGCAAAAGGTTTCATTCCCGCTGCAAAAAGTTTCATTTGAATTGCAAAAGGTTTCATTTAATCTGAAAATGCTATATATCAAATCATTTGTTATAAAAATAATTGAAAATTTTAGAAATAATATAAAAATGTAGATATTTATAATCAATAAAAAATCGTCTTTGTCAATATAATTAATTAATTAATTTAATTTAAGAACTACTAAAAATAAAAATGTTTTTTTTTTATTTTTCCTTCTATAAATTTAAAAGTTTCGTTTGATTTGCAAAAAGTTTCATTTCGGTTGCAAATGGTTTCATTTTGGTTGCAAAAGGTTTCATTTCCGCTGCAAAAGGTTTCATTTCCACTGCAAAAGGTTTCAATTCCACTGCAAAAGGTTTCATTTCCGCTGCAAAAAGTTTCATTTAATCTGAAAATGCTATAAATCAGATTGAAGAAGATGTTCAAATTTACAAATAGTCTATTTGTGGTCTGTTCCAGAATCTGCAAGAATCTACTAGTTTAGCAATATTTGTCGATACCATAAAGGGAAGGAATCGGTTATCTAAGCAAATAGTTTTACATTATGTTATGAATTGCGAATTATCTTTCTAATAAAGATATTATATGAATTGTGCATGGTAAAACTAAGAAGGTAAAGTCATGCAGTCATATGTTAACATTTTTTTTTTTTCAAAAATATTCATTTTACAACACCTCATTATAAACATTAATGTTTACAAAAACATTGTGTACACAGGAATCAGAGATGGGAACCTGTTTTCTACGCAGTGAAATGTGACAAGGTAAATTACAGAAAATGCAGAGATGGACATCTTATTTGAAATGACCTGACCTTCTTAATTGTATCATGGAATTGTGGTAATTCTATGAAAATGTTGTGAATTATAACACTGGATAAAATATTTTAAAGAAAAATAATTAAAAAATACAGCTTTCATGTGAGGTGATTTTTATTATCGAACGTTTCAACGCCCCTCTTTCACACCCCTGCCAAAGAGGGGACGACCTCCGGACGATCAGCATCATGATGGGAATTGAGTTGGAAATTGAAAAACAGCCACAGAAATCTACTTCATCAGCTATTTCAAAAAACAATACAACTTACATATATAAGTAAATTTAAAAATAAAATTATTCTAGATTTTATAATTTCTATACTCATAATAATGCCAACATTACAGTACACAGAATTAAAATCAACACACATCTTACTAAGAGGTTTATCCGTTGAATAATTCGTGTGGTGAAAATTTGTGCGTACTAATTCATAGCCTCTATTAGATCTAAAAGTAACAATTATTCTAATAGATGAGATTAGGAAATCTGAAAGTATATTACCATTTAATCTTTTTAGTATCATCATTGAGTCCAACATAATGCGCATGCTTTTTAGTGTAGGCAATCTGTTTAACTTTAACCTGCTAGTAAAGGGTGTTTTCTTTTTAATCCCGATAGACTTTGAAATTGTAAAAAATAACACAAACAATTTAATTTTAATCAAAAGTTTTTTATTCGAGAGATCAATACGTGACATTAAGGCTGGAAATACATAAAGCGCTTATCTGGCTAGCTTAAGTCATCGGCTGGCTTCTTTGGAAATGAACAAAGGAGCCTAGGGCCAAAATCGAACTAAGTCAACCTAAACCTCCTTTGTTCATTTACGAAGAAGCCAGCCGATGACTTAAGCCAGCCAAATATGCGCTTTATGTATTTCCAGCCTAACAGTTTAAAATGATCTCGGGTATATAGGCACCGCGGCTGTTCTTGACCAAGTGCATTCTGGACGTCCATTTTTTGGCCACTTTTTCGAGCACTGCTGGCCGTATGTCACGAATAACACGAACAATGCTGGCCTCCAAGGCGTCAATTGTTGCTGGTTTATCGGCATAAACCAGTGACTTTACGTAGCACCACAGGAAATAATCGAGAGGTGTCAAATCCCACGACCTTGGAGGCCAATTGACGGGTCCACTTCTCGAAATCAACTTATTGCCAAATGTTGATTTCAATAAGTCGATGGTTGCGTTCGCCGTATGGCACTACGTCCATCCTGTTGAAGCCACATCTTCTCCGGATCAATGTCAGCCATATTTTTAAACAAAAAACCATTGATCATGGTGCGGTAACGATCTCCATTGCCCGTAACGCGAGCTCCGGCCTCATTTTTGAAGAAAAAAGGTGCGATAATGCAACCATCGTGAAAACCGCACCATACGCTGCATTTTTCTGGATGTAATGGAGTCTGTAGGGTCTCTTGTGGCTTGGTCTTACTCCATATGCGGAAATTTTGCTTATTAATAAACCCGTTAAGCCAAAAATGCGCCTTATCGCTGAACACAATTTTTCGATATAACAACGGTTCATTTGCCAACTGCTCTAGAGCCTGATTTTCAAAGTAAATTTGGATAATTTCGTAGCGTTGTTCAAGCGTGAGTCTATTCATAATGATTTGTCAGAGTATACTGAAACAAATAAAAAAGTTTCATCAAAATTTAATTTTTTGTGTTTCTTTTTACAATTTGAAGTTCTATCTAGCTTAAAAAACATCCTTTATAAGGAGGTAAAACAATATAACTACACCAGTGAAGATTTCTCAGAGCAAAAAACAGAAACAGAAATTGTCTTTGCACTGATTCTATTTTATCAGAGTTTATTGCATATTGAGGATCCCATACAACGGATCCATATTCTAATTTAGGTCTAACAAGAGACGTAAATAAATGTTTTGTTATATATGAATCAAAAAACTCTTTAGCCCATCGTTTTACAAAACCTAAAACACTATATGCTTTATTTACCATTGTTATTACATGACTATTAAAATTTAATTTGCGTTCATTTATGAGCAACAACAACAGTCCTACAAAGATCTCCTAAATTGGTCCGAAATGAAAGACTTTCTAAAGAATAGTTTTGAGATAGTCCAATTTGAGAGGAACTACAGACAAGCCAGTTTCGCCTGAAAGTTAAGCTCAACTTTTAATATTATACAAGCAAGATCGCCACATAAGGACATATCCCGATTTCCATACTTTCAGACCGCCAAATGCAGAAGTAAATACTCGTGCAATACATGTAAAATTCCCACCATTCCTCGTTACATTTTGAAAGGAAGAATATTCAACAAAAACATGAATCAAATATTACAAATACCAACTTATTTAGTACTTCTCCATCTGCTAATGAGTAATATTCTCATCAAACAGGAATGAACGGTGGTTCACGACTCTTTTGCAAAATCAATTTTCACCATAAGAGCATTCATTTACCCTGACTCACAAAATTTTTTTCTCAGTGAAAAAATCAGGAAACCGCTTCAAAATAGCTACTTATAGCTTATCTGGTGTAGGAGGCATTGTCTGTGCCAAACTGCATCAAAAATATAACATTCAAGCTATGATTCTACCCAATCTTATAAAGTGTCTGCCATTAATTTCTTTTAAATTGCCAAAGGCACCAGATCTGCAAATATAAAGGCGAGAATAATAGAAGTGTGGGGTTTATTTACACTTAAATGTAATTGGGTCAAATAAAAACGAGATCATTGCAACCTCTATTATGGAGGAGCCTATTGCCAATACTGCCGACAGAAATGATAAGCATACAAAAGAAAAACGTGAGCGAAAAAGATCATGTATTGGTAAACACACAAAAGAAGAGGAACAAATTAAGATTCTCCGCCAACAAGTAGCTTCTCAAGAGAAAATTTCGACCGCAATAGAGAAGCGGACAGATTTGGCAAATATGGTGGGAGCAGCAAATTAAATTACTGACTGGTATTTTATGCAAAATGGCCGAATCTTTGAAATTATAACAATGAACAATATATGCGACAATTTGGAATACTTATTACAAATCCCTTTCAAGATAATATACATTTACACATGGTACAATGATATCAAGGTAGGGCTATGATACCATATGATTTTATTTTTTTTATTTTCTTGGCCTAATATGTCATCTTTATTTGTTTATGTATGTGTTCTCTTTTCAATAACAAAAAAATTGTTCAGAAAAAATTCAAATTCGGGTGTTTTCAAAATGTTAATTTCAACGCATGCATCGACAAAATCTAGAGTTTTTGTAGCGAAATAATCCTTTAGAGATATATAGTACATGATTTTGAAAAGAAGTGTTGACCTTTCATTCAGTTATCGCGGTTTTCAATTATTTATTCAAAATAAATACAACAAGTTATTTGATTTTTTATTGTTTTGATACTAATTCTGACATTACAAGCCAAACAGGTAGACCTCTATACTTGCAATTTTTTCAAAGTTGACCTACCTTCTCTTCATTGTACCATGCATTTACATAGTTACAACTGCTGGTTAAACCAAGAAGCTGTAAAGCTAATAAATAATGCTGCCGAATACATTTGACACTTGTTTATTTTGAACAACTTTTATGGATCATACAGAAATTCACGAGCAAACAATATATGTGGAATTATTTTATTATTTATCTAAGGTTTATAGCAATTTGTTCTCTAGATGCCGCATATGATGGCATATTATTTTCATCTGAATATAAAGTTCTTCAGTGTAATCCAAATAATCCACATTTTGGGTTATTACCCAATCATGTTTGTAATAACTGCAAACATTTTGTAATGTACAGACTGTATTAACAATTTGTTGGTTTTTTCGGACTGTAGAAAAGTCCTCGTGACCCAAGTATGCAAAGAAAACGGGGTTTCGTATCGTATTTTGGCGTGTCTCTCATTGAACTTGTTTTGGTGCTGTTCAATTGGGTTATTAAAAGGAATCATCATATACGGCATTAGTTTGTAAACGGAATCTCCTACAAGAACTTTCGGAATCCCGAATAGAACTTTCGAAAGCAAAGTTTTAAATTCACAAGTATACTAAACGAAGTAACTAAATATTTGTAGCATTAAACCATTTGAAGAATCTTCTTAGAATTAACAAGTAAAAAAACAGCTTATACCCTCCACCATTTGGAGGGAACTTGAAAATTTTTCAAAAAGAAAAACTTGAAGATGTGAATCTACATACGATTTTTATTGTCATAGTCTGTAAGACCCATTACGAATTTAAAATTCAAAATTTGTTACAATTCCGGTGAACAATGTCGCACAAAGCATAAAAATACAGAGTATCGGGAGGTACCGTCATATGGGGAACTATACGAAGACGTGGACATCCATTACGAACTTCAAATACGAAATATGAAATAATTCCGGTAAATAATGTCGGTAAAATCATGAAAATACCGAACATTGGGAGGTACCAATATATAGGGGCTATACAAAGACGGGGACCTGCATACGAAATTTTTTTCCATTAAAATCTCCCAATACGGAATTTGAAACGATTTTGGTGAATAATGTTGCTGAAATCATCAAAACACCGAATATCGGGAGTTACCGTTATATGGGGGCTATACGAAGACGTGGACCTGCATACAAAAATGTTTATCATAGGCTGTAGTACCCATTACGAACTTAGCCTTCTATCTCAATTCGTTCGAAAGGTAGCGTGATTAAAACAGACAGACAGACGGACTTCGCTAGATCGTCTTGGAATTTTACGCTGATCCAAAATGTATATATTTTGTAGCGTCAATTATAAATATTTCGAAGAGTTACAAACGGAATGGCAAAGTTAATGTACCCTCCATAGAATGGTGGAGGGTATAAAATAAATTGGCAAATAGAGCCAAAGAAGATATTCCCGTGAATCCTAAATAGAACAAATCCTGAATATATACTGATTTTTAAGCAAATTCAATTAATCAAAATTATATTTAAAGAGCAGGCTGAGTTAGAGCATGCCAATGTATTTAATTCTAAACTTAGGGAGATAAAACCTGGACTATAGGCTTATAAGCAAGTTTTCGCGATAATTGGGAATAAAAACAAGTCAAAGGTGACGGAAATATCGGTAAATGGAAATAACATAACTGATTGAAAAAGAAAAGTTAGAATTTATGAATTCATTTTTAGTCTGTGTATCAAAATTCTCCTCCAAGTAGAAGTTCTTCATATGTGAATGGCACAATACATCAATCTATTTCTAGTGCACCAGATATAATGCTTGAATTTTCTAACGATACTAACGCGTTGAACTGTCAAAATACCTGCAATTTCACGTCTTTAAATTCCATCGAAGAAATTGTAAAATTAAAAAATAACAAAAAATTGTCGGTTATTAAAGAAAACAAGCAAACAAACAAGCTGTGAATTCGGGGAAGTTCGAACTTTGAATAATTTATAAAAATTCCGATGGAAAATACATATCATAAATGTACCGAATATAGGGAGTAACCTTTAATTTGGAACCTATGCGAAGATGTGGACCTGTATATCAAATTTTTGTCATAAGCAATTGCGATATTCTGATATGAAACTTAAAGCAATTCCAGTGAATAATGTCGCTATAATCATATAATAAAATACGGAATATAGGGAGGTACCGTTATATGGGACATTTACGAAGGCGCGGAACTGCATAGACAATAGTCGATAACAGACTGCAGCACCCAATATGAACATACAATACGAAATTTAAAACAATATTAGCTAAAATCATCAAAATACCCAATTTGAAGGGGGTACCGTTATATGGGACCTTTACGAAGTCGTGGACCTGCAGGGACAATTTTTAGTGACATGCTGTAGCACCCATTACGAACTTACAATACGAAATTTAAAACTATTCCGGTTGACAATGTCGCTAAAATCATCAAAACACCGAATTCGGGGCGGTACCGTTATATGGGACTTTTACGAAGACGTGGACCTGTATAGACAACTTTTGGTGACAGGCTGTAGTACGAAATATGAAGCTATTCTGACGGATAATGTCGCTAAAATCATGAAAATACCGAATATAGGGAGGTACCCTTATAAGGGACCTTAGACATTTGACGGACATCGCAAAAACGACATAGAATTACTAGCTGAACCCGGTATATGGAACCCGGTATTGAAAATCAGGCTCTAGAGCAGTTGGCAAATGACCGGTTTTGTGTTTTTTTTTTTTTTTAAATATGGATGACATTGATCCGGAGGAGATGTGGTTTCAACAGGATGGCACTATGTGCCATACGGCGAACGCAACCATCGACTTATTGAAATCAAAATTTGGCGATAAATTGATTTCGAGAAGTGGACCTGTCAATTGGCCTCCAAGGTCGTGGGATTTGACACCTCTCGATTATTTCCTGTGGGGCTACGTAAAGTCACTGGTTTATGCTGATAAACCAGCAACAATTGACGCCTTGGAGGCCAGCATTGTTCGTGTTATTCGTGACATACGGCCAGCAGTGCTCGAAAAAGTGGCCAAAAATTGGACGTCCAGAATGCACTTGGTCAAGAACAGCCACAGTGCCTATCCGAAATCATTTTCTGTTAATCACTGTTAATGTCACGTATTGATCTTTTGAATAAAAAAAAATTTGATTAAAATTAAATTTTTTGTGTTATTTTTTACAATTTCAAAGTCTATCGGGATTAAAAAGAAAACACCTATTACTAGCAGGTTAAAGTTAAACAGATTGCCTACACTAAAAAGCATGCGCATTATGTTGGACTCAATGATGATACTAAAAAGATTAAATGGTAATATACTTTCAGATTTCCTAATCTCATCTATTAGAATAAATGTTCCTTTCAGATCTAATAGAGGCTATGAATTAGTATGCACAAATTTTCACCACACGAATTATTCAACGGATAAACCTCTTAGTAAGTTGATTTAAATTCTGTGTACTGTAATGTTGGCATTATTATGAGTTTAGAAATTATAAAATCTAGAAACAGAAATCTGTAACTGGTTTTCAATTTCCAACTCAATTCCCATCATGATGCTGATCGTCGGGAGGTCGTCCCCTCTTTCGGCAGGGGTGAGAAAGAGGGGCGTTGAAACGTTCGACAATAAAAATCACCTCACATAAAAGCTGTATTTTTTTAATTATTTTTCTTTAAAATATTTTATCCAGTGTTATAATTCACAACATTTTCATAGAACTACCGCAATTCCATATGACCTCATGACTTTACCTTCTTAGTTCTACCATGCACAATTCATATAATATCTTCATTAGATCATTAGAAAGATAATTCACAATTCATAACATGATGAGTATTTTTATGTTCCAGAAATGCAAGAATGTAAAACTTTTTACTTAGATAACCGATCCCTTCCCTTTATGATATCGGCAAATATTGCAAAACTAGTAGATTCTTCTATTCTATGATTCTTCTATATATGATTTTTTAATTATTGATGCTTCTGTTTTCTATTGCCTAAATAAGAGAGGTGTAAGTCGCCGCTTTCCCATCATCATTGGCGTAAGTGGCACAAAAGTCAAAATTACAAAGTAACTAATCAAGAGTATTGCATCCTCTTCTTTTGAGGATATTCAAAAAGTACACAAAAGGAAATGGTTGTCATATAATGAGAGGTCATTCCTCAGCCCTAGGGACTTAGTGCCCAACAATACACCCATTTGATTAAAAATAGCTTATTCAAATCCGACAATGGAATAATAATAAGCCAATGAAAATCTATATATATGAATAATAAAGTCCCAAAAAGGCAAGGGCCTAGATATCCTTACGAATTTAGGGCAATTGCACTTTTATCAGCTTTTATGGAAACCCCTAACCTTATTATAAACACATGTACATACTGGTCTTCACTGGATCTTCACTCCTTTAGTGGACTGGATCTTCACTGCAGAAGATCTATGGCTACAGCCCGTTAAAGTAGCCGAAGCTAGAACCAGGTTAGCAGAACGCAAACACATGCATATACTACAACAACAACAACCTTATTATAAATGGTTTGCTATACACCATCCATTACCATAAGGAGCTTGGTTATTATAGTATTATCGTGATATCTCCAAATCATACGATTGCGTGAAAATTGAGCTTCTCTTCATAATACTAAAAGTCTTTATAATACATCTACGTGGACAATAAACTTTCTGAAGCAACACACATTAGTCTGGTTAGACACTTGAAATTTACAATGGTCTTCCCCACTCACTCTTCGACACTCAATTCGCGGATGACTATATCTAACTGTCGAAGCAAGAGGTTTTGTCACAGCAAATAACATCTCCTAGTGTAAGGTAAACGAGTTTCCCTGAAATATAGATAAATTCCTTTGACAAAATCAAATATCTTGGCCAGCACATTAATAGTAGCCTTACATTAAAAGACCACTACGATGAGGCAATTAACTCATGCAACACCACTCTTAATGCACTCAAAATGATTAATTTGTCAAAGGCTGGTATACATCCAAAAATGTTAACAAACTTAGCAATTTGTGGAGACGTGAAATTTAAAAGACTCGTAACTTCGTTAAAATTGACAAATTTTCGACAGGGTGTTTCAAAACATTGAATAATAAATAATAAATGAACAGCTTAGGCATTTTTGTCTGATTCCGGCAAACTATTTTTTCTTGGGGGAAGGACTCGGGACCCCAGATTTTTCACCCGAATCCACTTACATGATATAGACAATATAGGTATCGTTTGTTTACTATCAATACATTTTATCATGATGGAGGAAATACCAGACAAAGACATAGAAGTATTAAGATGGGACAAGACATAACAACATACTCACCAATGTTCAACGAATTTAACAGTAAATGCAATTTTCAATTGATTGAAAACGTCAATGGAATGCAATTTGTATTCCAAATTGTTGGTTTACAAAAAATGTTATTCTTAAAATTGCCCTGTAAATATGATTTTAATGCTAACATTGTTGTGAGCAGCGCCCCTATATATTCTTCACATTAACTAATTTTCCATTGTGCATTTTGTCTAGTCTTTACGATTTGAGGGGTTTGTCTGGTACAAAGACTGGACAAAATGCATAATGGAAAAATAATTAATGTAAAAATGCTGATAGGGGGTCGAGGGTCTCTAGAATGAAGTGCCTGTACCGTCATCTCGTTTTATACTGCCTATGGACTTGGGATTCTTAAGTCTGGCAAAAAAGTCAGCAAAATCCACTTTAACTCACTTTATAAGCTTTCCAATCGGAACTATGTTTAGTTTTCCTGGCCCAGTTATCTGACGTTCTTGCTCTTTTCTGGAAAAAAAACAGGTCCTCAATTCACCAAACCGGCTGGGATTTCCACCCAGGGAAGGTGATTTGGCTAGATTTCCCATAGCTTGAACGAAGGACGCTTGTAACAACATTCACTGCTCTCCCTGTTTAATTTCAGATTTTGAGAATCATGTTTCAACTCTGACGTAGGGGATTTACATTTCTGTCCTTCTTGGTTTCCTTTAAGATTTCTGTCTGACACCTCATCCACCTGGAAGAATATCATCTTATGCTCTGAGAAGAAGCACTTTTCAGACTTCTTCCAATTGCTAATAGCAGAGTCGTCCATATTGGACGTGGTGATGTCAATGACTTCTCTGCTAAACAGTTTGAGTGTTAACGACATTAGATATTTTAAAATAATTGTTGGGAATAAATTGAATATTGACTCACCTCTAACATTCGTATAACTGCTTCCGCAGTAAAAGTGATGGGCGTTTGCGACACATCCCAGGTTAATGTTGCATGTGCCGCACACTTTCTTTAATGTTGCATGTACCGCACACTTTGGCGGATCCGTGTCTTCATAAGGCATGTAGATTGAGAATATCAGTAGTGGTTTACCACCACCACCTTCTTCCAAGAGGGTTAGCTAGAGTTCAGCAGACGTAGCCTTGCAATTATACATTAGGCTTGTCCACTACTGCATGCTTTGTGGGAAGCTGATGTGAATCCTTCGCAACCGAAAGCTTTGGTCATCCGTACATTTCGCTGTTCGACCTTTGGGGTCAGTCTTATCAATGACCGCTAGTCTAAGGGCCTCCGGTACCATCCGTTGAGCAGATTGACTTTTTTAATCTTTTCATGTAAGTAAACTTTTAACAATTTGGAGACGTCCTCCAAATTATTTTATGTTAGTCTTTTTAGATCAACCCCCTTGAAAGGGCAGCTAAAAAAGGATGTAAAATCATCAAAATATTTGTAAATTTATGTGTTAACACTTTCCCCATGCCTTTCTCCAATTGTGACTAAAACTTTTCAAAACTACAATCAATGACAGCAGAAAAGGATCACTAATCTTCAGTAGCACTGCCATTTTTCTTTTATCTTCATCTGCAATACTTTTAACTTAACGAAGAGTTTAAGAAATTTTGACATGATTGACAGAATATATATCTATCAAGAATAGTCTCGGCTTCATTTACTATTTTCAAGTATATTTTAAATTAAGCTTCTGCTTTTATATTTGTGCAAACACCGTGCTCTATAAAGTGAAAACGTTACACATCTAATGCCTTTAACATTTACTATATTCGCATTAAGATCTAACGTCCATCCGAAAACATATATATGTATCCTTTCTTGGAACCTCCAACCATGCAAATTCATGC